GTTCTTTCTATACATAATTTGTTCATAGTTTTAAACATGAATGGATGTTGAATCCCTTTTCTGCATCTATTATGGTAACCATATGCCTTTTATTCTTTTTTTTCTGTTGATATATTTCATTGATTTTATTCAATATTATATACAGAAAATAACCAAGATTTCACAAAAGACTATTAAACTGATATACAATTTCAAATAATATCCCATTTCTCTGGAATTGATCTACTTGTTCATGATGAAGTAATATTTGGATGTGTTATTAGATTGCATTTGATAGTATTTTCTTTAAGAATTCTTGTACCTGTATTCATCAGGGAGACCAGTCTACAGATTTTAGTTTTCTTTTTGTATCCTTGTCTAGTTCTGGTTTCAGGGCAATTCTGATCTCGTAGAGTGTATTTGTGAGGAGGATTTGCTCTCTTCAATAGTATGCAATAGAATGGAAATTTGCTTTACAATCATTATTTGTAATTAGTCTGTTCAGGGTTTCTATATCTTCATGGTTCAATTTGGGTAAGTTTTAGGTATCCATGAATGCAGCAACTTCTTGGTTTACCAATTTGTTAGAATATAACTGTCCATAATCACCTATAATCATCCTATGTATTTCTGTGGCATTTAATAGCCTTTTAATATTTGTGAAATTTTCCTTTATGCAACCTGTTATTTCTGAATTACAGTACTTCCTCATAGACATAATCTACTAAAATATGAAAAACAGAAGTTTTCTATACAAAACAATATTGTTAACATAGTTAAATCAGAAAAAGTTATTTTATATGAATTTCTAAGCCAACCAATTTATCCTAATGATGGCTGTGTAACTTACCTGACAGTAAATGTGTAGTCTTTTTCTCTAGGGTTTTTCTCATTTGTGTCAAAGGTTGAACACAAATTCAGATTTTGGTTAACCTAAATGTGATATCTGAATTAGTAAGTTATCCTTAATATTCTTATCATAAAATGACTGTCAAGGGTTGCCTGGGGTGTGTGGATTATGGGGAACGAGATGTATTTCTCTAAATCTCAGGTTTCTGACTATATTTAATTTTGCCTAACAGGCTTTTACTTGTATTAAAGCTGTTTTTTTAAAGACTTACATGGCAATATGTAGAAAACTGAGACTAATATTCAAAGAATGGAGCTTAAAGATACATGCATATACATTTATGTTGTGCGTATATATACACGTATTTGTAAAAACACAAACATGCACACATATAAAATGCATTTATCAATATGTACCATATATACCTGTGTGGGTATGTGTATCCATCTGCATATATGCATGTATGTCTCTATACATCTATGTCCATAATCCACAACTACACACTTTGATAAATGGCTTTCTCAAATCAAGGCAAGTAAAAAGTGTTTAAAATTATTTCAAAGAGTCAATCCAACATAAAGTTTTAAATTTCCAAATGACCTAATAAAAATTCTCAAGGAAAAGTATCCTTTGGAACTTTATATATTTTATTACCTACAGCCATTAAATTAAACATTTTTACTTCAAAAGACAATAACAACACTGGAACCTGCCAACCTAGAGGCAGACATCATCTAATTGTATTTACCAGAAAAGACACATCTGTTAAAATGAGAGATCTTCAAAAGATTCTTAGAAAATGTGTATAATCTCATAAAAACAAAAGTATGTCTGCCCTTCAAATTTTTGGATGCCAAAACTTATCTCTTAATCTTATTTTCCCCTAGCATCTGTGGAAATCCCATTTAAAAAGTACAAAATTGAGAGCAGGCATTTAGCCTAGAGATTTAAATGACAGTTTAGATGTCTACATTCCAATTAATGTTTCTGGCCCTTTACATTCTGTTAAAGCAAACCCTGGAAGGCAGCAGTGGTAGGCAGTTATTGGGCTTCTGCCTACCTGGTGGGAAACCTAGACTGATTCCCTGCCTTCTGGTTTCACCGAGTCAAACCTAATATTGTGGGCATTTGGGGAATGAACCTATGGCTGAGAGCTTGCTCTGGCTCACTATTTTCCTTTTCCTTTCAAATAAATCAACTGAAATTTAAGAAAGGAAAAAAATGTGTGAATCAAATTACCCTTTGATTTTTCCCTACACCTGCCAACTATGTTGATAATCCTAACTTCCACTGAACTGACAAAGTGACAGTAAACTCATTATATGTGATAGAAGTGGAGGTCACTGGTGACCAAAATCAGAGTTCACTGAGTATTAGGACTAGAAACCTGTTCAGAGTTAAATGAGCCAGGAATGGATTTTGAAAATATTGAGAGGATGCTGCTGCTTTCTGTGAATTTTAGAGAAAAAAAATGTCAGAGAAATTAGAGGGTAATACAAATTAAAGGGGGAACGCTAGACTAGTCAATATCCTAGTGATATTGATACAATGAAAATGAAACTGTAAAGGGAAAACAAAAAGCCACAGTTAACTGCAGGACAAAGTCTTGAGCAAAGTCAAGGGGGAGAAAATTCAAAGCAAAGGGAAATTTGCTTCTCATCACAATAGGAGGAAAGTGGAGGAGGAAGAGAGGAGTGGGAATAAGGAGGAGGAAGGATGGGAAGAAAAAGAGTGGCAGGGGGAAGGGATAAATGAATGAATCAACCTGCCATTTGCTGGTTCATTCCCCCAAATGAATGCAGCAGGCAAAGTTAGGCCAGGCCAACTCCACCACAGTCTGCTGTGTGGGTGGCACAGCCAAAGCACCTGAGCCATTATCTACTGCCTACCAGCACTGCTTAGTAACAAGTCGGATTGGAAGTAGCAGTGCTGGGACTTGAATCAGCACTCCAGCAAGGGCTGTGGGTAGAGCAGTGGCTTATCTCACTGTGGCACAACACAGGGCACATATATACATTCTAGAACTTGTTTTTTGGCTGATAGAAACATTTGTTATTCATTTTCTACCCATTCTGCCCTTTAATACTGAAGAACTATGATTTATTGGTTGGGTAATTCTACAATTCTACCAGACAGGAAGCTACACTCAAAACCCTGAGGAGTATCATTTTGCAATCTGAGTCATGTCTGCTTCCCTCTAGGCCTCTAAGCTGTACCTTACAGTACAACCAGAACTCATCTATCTCTATGCATCTCAGGCCCACAGGTTTTACTGTCTCAAATAGACACAGAGGTTTCCAAGACAGGGGCAAGTATTTCACAATCAAATATCACTGACTCTCTTGCTGTGAAAAATCTCACATTGGATATAAAGTACATAATGAATAGACACTTGTTAACCAATGTAGCCATTTATAGATGAATGACTAATAAGATGCACTATGCTAACAAAATTCTCTTGCTAAGAAAAACTGCAAAAAAAAAAAAAGAGAAAAAAATTCCCTTGCTAATAGAATAGTCATAATCGTTTTCAAGTTCTCTTTTTCTATGTGCATTGCAATTAGTTTATGTGAGCTCTGGAATTTTTACCAATCAAAGGCTAATAGTGTGCTGTGCGTAAGCTTTCTTCATCTCAATGATTTGCACCCACTAATTTAGGAGAAGGACTTTAAGAACATATTTAAAGGATGAAGCCTCAAGGAGAATACAACAGTAAGGACAGAGAACAATACAGTGTTACTTTTCTTCTATGCATCAAGAAGAATTGAAATCAATGTGGTAATATTATTATTAGAAAAGACTATTATTATTATTGGAAGGAAACTCATTATCACTGCCTTTTGTTCATTGTGCTAGGTAAATTTTTTCTTCAGTCTACACTGAAATCTTATGTATCATATTTTTGGAATACGGCTTTCAATATGTTGAGTTATATGAAAGAAGCTTAATTCCTAATCTAATTTACAAGCCAAGCAAAGCTACTTGGAATCACACAAGTTCTAAATCAGAATGTAAATATCACTCATACATATTTTTAATTTAAGGAGTAATTCTGTCATCACACAATATTGGTCATTTAATTTTATCCACTGAGTTACTATGTAGAAATAATGAGTTAACAATCAGAATAGCATTTCACTGAAGATCCCAGATGCTATCCCTGGCAGTCTAAAGAACTCTCAGAAAGTCAACAATTATCATTGCTATAAAATGTCATTCTATGAAATATCTATCAACAGAATAAATTACTTTGTTTTCCCACAATGCATGAAAATTTAAAAAGACAGTATCTGATAAAATGCAGTGTATCAAGAGACTTACAATTTTAGGATAAATGAAACTTGAAACAAACAAAAAAAAATCAATATAAACACTCCTTCAGTACATTCCAATAGCATGGACACTAGGAGATAATCTTTATAAAACATCTTCTACATAAAGTATTTCAGTGGAAATGTTTCACAAATTCTCTAACATGCATTTGCATTTATATTTCCATTTCTGACACGCATCTCAAGATCTGCTGGTAACAGAATCACGAAGTCGACAGGTGAGAAATGACAAACCTGTTAAACTTTCATGCCTAGTTTCTAGTCACTTGTCAATAATCTATAAAGATTCATGCAGTTATCTGATTTATTTCAGAAATTAAGTTCTAAGCAGTAGTAAAAATTTCAAAATTTACATGTTTGTTTAAAAGGAAAATGCACATACTTTCAAACTGTTTTTAAATTAACCAGCGAACACTGCCTATTTTTGTGGATCCTCAGAGGAGAAAGAAGATTCATTAGTCAGGGTTTGTTTTGTTTTTAATCATCAGAGAAAAAGATGTAGGAACATATCTCTTAAAGCTTTTATTTTTCCTTCCCTATGGAGGCAATATATCTCAAAATGGAGGTTAATAAGCTATTAATAGCACAGTCTTACCTAAATATTGCAAATGTGGCAGTATAATTTCTTTGTAAATATGAGAATTTTGAGAGCCATAAAATTAAAGACTTTGATATGTGTAAGATCAATAGATGTGACTTATCACTATTTAATATGAGCTTTAATTTTTAAATGCCACGCAGCAATGGTGTACTGCACAGAAAAAAATGAAATTTCAATGGAAAATCAAGACAAAAGAAACAAACTTCATATTAAAGCACCTTTAAGAGGTGATACTTACGCAGCAACCTCCTCTTTTGACAATCCTTTGAAATTCACCTCCAGATAATGATCTATGTCATCTTTCTCTTTGATCAGTTGAGACCTAAATGAAATAGAAAGAAATAATAAAGCAAGCACTGCCTTATCAAGTTGAAAAGCTACCAAATATATAAAATGCCACCAAGAGCACAGCAGCACCAGGATATAACAGCATCTAAAACAGATGTTCTGCAATAGCTATAGTGCTGGATTTTGATTGATAATTTCCAAGTTGTAATTTTCCTAATTAGGAAAGATTTCCCTGAATAGTAAACTAAGAACATAAAAATTAAAACTAAATAAATAAAGCAGAAACACACTGAAGGAAAAGGAATTTTACCCTAAGGCTTCTAAGAGGATCTTCCATTCTAGTCATACTGCTTCACAATATAACTTTCCAAATGCAGAAGTCAATTTTGTTTGGCAAAAAAATATTGAATAGAAACGGAATGTTCAGTTCAAATGTGTAAAATGTATTTATTCCTAACATTCATCTTTTTCTGAAAATACTGTCTATGTAGCTATTTTTTTCTTTAAATCACCCATGAAACTCTAATTACTATTAAAGATTCAATGTGCAAAGTTATTTGAAGATTCAATATGCAAATGTTTTAAGAAGACTTACTAAGATCTATATTAATACTTGCAGGGCATTTACTCTTCATATAAATTTGAACCTTAAAATATAAAAATGTTAATCTCTCATAACCAGTGGGACATAGGAGTAAACAGGCATCTGTATTTATTCAGGTGTAAACAAATATCTGAATGTATTCAGAAGTTAAAAAGAATGTTCATATGTTACCTTAAAAGATTACGATAAAAATGTTATTTTTTTCAATAAAGTAGATGCAAGAAAACATTTTCTATCAGATTGTAGGGCTGTGGGATTGGGTTACATTTGTGTTTACCTTGGAGACAATATGTAAATCTCATCATTAAACAAGCCAAGGAGAACAAGCGCTTTCAAATTATGCACATATTTCACAGCATTCCAAAGTAAAACATCAAATAACATATATACATACACAAATTTGGCATCTGTTGGAGTAGTTCTCAGACATAGAAAAAAAAGAACATTTTGCTCTGCTACCTTAAAAGAACTTTTATGATAGTAGAGCTAAGCATATTTACTTTGTTCCAGGGCCTTCAGTCTTTTCCAAGACATACTAAAAATGGGGTGTAAGAATCAGTCTCATTATACTGCAACAATATGAGTCAAAAGGTATTCATATAAAGGAAACATATCTACATATATTAATTATTTATTGTAGCAAAGAGTACCTTCTTTATTAGAAGTCAAGTGCAAGTGCCCATTTTAAATTGGCACAATTTTTACTGTTATTCACAATCATGATAAAATATTTTAAATTCTCTGTCCTGTATTTTCTCAGTGGCAATCCCTGTAGCTTAGTAGCCTTTCAAAGCCACAAAGGTTTGTGGATACAATTTCGGGTCCCAGCATTCCCCCTGAGCTAACCCTTGCCTGCCATCTACTCCAGGAGAGAGCTGAATCCTCTTTCCTCCAATACTGTAGTTAGCATTCACGGGAGAATCACATGGACAGACATTTAACTTCTAACACTGCTGCTTTCTATCTTCTGCACATATTTACAAAAGGCAGATCATCTTAAATGCTTTAAGAACTTGGCAATGGGACATAAAACGATCACATGGACTGTACCTTGATAAATACTCATCTCCTTTGAGGGAGGTTCAAGGATTTTTGAAAGAGCAAATCTGAGCAACTGGATATAGCAAATTATCTTTCTCTTTAAACAGTCTTATTTTCCAAGGTGTACTGCTACAGGACTTTTTTTTTCTGCAAGGGGGAATCAGAAGGTAAACAAGAGGCGCATACCTGGGAATGGTTCCGTGGGAGCAAGGCAGCTTCTGTCTGGCCAAGGCCACAAGCTTCGGGTGTGTCATGGGTAGTGGGGGCAGGGTGGTCATTTTGGACTACAAATAAATAAATAAGAAGGAATGACATTTTAAGAATAAATCAAAAAGAATCCTTTAAGATATTATTAACACCCACAGTCTATCATCTCGCTGTAACACCTCTGTACCCAGAGCTAATGCTCTTTAACTCAGGAATGATATTCAGTGAGTGGATTCTGCAGGTTGCTTCTCTCATTGCTTTCTTCTGCTGGCTGCCTTTTGACGAATTCTACCTGTCTGTATTTCCACCACAAAATGGATAAGGAGAAACATCTTGTTGAAGGCACTGTGGATTCAATCAGTACCATCTGTGAAGGTTTCGTTAAAGGGTATAATTGTAATTAAAGAGTGAACTTTAAGGCTTCTATGGATTTCCAGTTTTAAAGATTTTCTTTTAAAATCAAGAACTGAAAATGGCTCACATTCTGTTGTTTGTCCAAAAACCTTATCAGTCATAAATATATTCCCTTAGAAGCAAGATGTGGCAAGAATGCTTTCAACAAGGAGACAGCTGCCCTGAGACAGTATACACCTTTTTTTTTATAGCTTAATGAACCACTTCACAATCGGGTGGTTTCAAACAGCTTTAACTCTCACACTTAACACCTGTCAGGAATTTGGATGAAACATGGTAGAAAGGACTTTTCTCTTGTCCATGATGACTGGGACCTCTATAAGGAAGACTCTGAAGTTGGGGTAATCCAATGGTGGGGAGTAACACACCCATCAAGTCTTCACTCATGTATCTGGTCTTTGGTGCTATTAGCTGAGGCTTCAACAAGGCTTCCTCACAGTTGGGCAACCTCAGATTACATTCTAGTAGCTCAAGCTACAGAGATAAGTATCCCAAAGAAAAGGCAGTGTCCGGCCTTGGATGTGGCCCTGCTTCCTCTATGACAGCAGGTCTCCCTAAAGTTAAAGTCAGTAGTCATTGAATATCCACTGACAGCAGAGTGTCAACTCACATGTCAAAAAGCGAATGTGGGGTAAATAATACTGTTAAGGTCTCTCTGGAAAATATATTGTGCCCCACTGATGAACAATAAGGAAAATAGGTCTATAAAAGTTACCTAAACTCTGTCCCAAAGAGGTGGGAATGTGGGCATGGTAGCTGAGAGCTAACAACAGGAAACATGTCACTGGCTGTAGGAGCTCTCAGATGCAAAAGAATCCATACTTTTGTTAAACAGAAAGGTATCCAAAGGGTCAGAGTCTCCCAATTCCTCCCACTATATTTCTATCCTTCAGCTTCAAGATCTACTCTCAGCTTCACTAAGCAATGAGAAGGCTTGTATAGATATTAAATTACTTCTATCCAGCATTGACTACCCACAAGACCCAGAGTAATCGTAGTCAATCTAGCCATGACCACATTCCAGTGTTTACTGAGTTCCGGCTAGGTCCTGAAGATGCAGCAGTGAACACGAAAACAAAAATAATTAACAATAGAGCTGTGGAAATGGAGAAAAAGAAGGCCCTATATAAATAAGCAAAGTGCATAGAGCTTCAGACGAGACTCCATCATGAAAAATAAAACAGAGGACTAGAAGTACCCAAATGTCTATTGACAGTCCTGGAATAAGCAGCCCTGGGATATGAAAAAGGTTACGGAAAATGTTGGTGAGTGTTTTGATGGTGTAGGGTATTGAGAGCTATTATAAAATCTGCGGCTTTCACTCTGGTTAAAATCCATGTGAGGGCTCTGAGCATGGAGACTACTTTCACCTTGAAAGGATCTCTCTGGTTTCTCTGAGGTTAGAACAGAGGGGAAGAAGAGGTCAGCAGTAGAAAGGATACCTGGGAAGCTATTCTGACACTGGGCAGAGACAGGAGGGTGGAGGACACCTGAGTCCAAATTCCCTCCAGACAGCTGAGACCCAAGATTCCTCCAAGGCTGCAAAAGCACGGCAGGGGGGAAGGGGCTGAAGTTGTGGGAAACACTGTGGGAATAGGGCTTGTGTGAGGGTTAGAACAGCACTGTGGCTTGATGGGAAATATTTGGAAATTCAGTGTAGAAATGGATAATATTGTGTCTCTGGAAAAATGTTACTACTTTGGCTTAAAAATTAATCATACATAATTAAGGAGATAATTCTCATTCAGGTCTGTATTTTAGATGAAACAATTCTCATTTTTTTTATAAAGTTACAGTTTTAAAGTACAAAGTGTAAGCAGCATTGCTAGTGTACTTCTCCAGGACACTGAAAATATACTGCTGGCTCCCATAACTTCATAATCTAATGAGTTCATTATTTTTAAATTTACAAATAGCTGCTTTTCAGGAGCAAACGATTGGCTCATGGGCTGACACTGGCTGATGCTCACGTCCCGTGTTAATGTGCCCATGTTTGAGTTACAGCTCCATTTCCGGTCCTTACATTCTGTTAACGTGTGCTCTGTGAGGTAGTGGTTATGGCTGAGAGTTCAGGTCCCTGTCATCCATATGGAAGACCTGGATTAAGTTTCTGACTTCCACAAGTTTGTGGAGTGAACCATTAGTATCTCTTTTTCTACCTGTTTTTCTAACTAAAAAGAGAAATTCATGTTTTAGCAGTTGCTGTATCACCTAGTTGATTTACTTGTGTAACAAGAACTTACTAAATGCTACTGTGCAGAACTCCTGGTAAGAAGTTATGACCGACACAATGAGGAGCCCCAGGTACAAATCTGGGAGGACATCAAAGGCTCCTTAAACCTACACCCTATGAGCTTACTGCAGAGAGATTGCACCCTTGCAATATTCCAGAGTCTTCCAAATACACTGAGTGAATCTAGATCACATGGTTTCATAATCCTGCCCTGCCAAGTCCTGGTGGATTTCAAAAGGAGTGAAGAAAACAAGTATGCTTGCTTTGTTCAAGGCATTCCATCCTGCATGCTTTAAAACTCTGAGTCTCATTTTTCTTACAAGAATGATGCAATTAGTGTTGGGCCAGTCGTCTCTTCATAACTGGAGGGTCTCAGAATATTAGAGTAAGGAGCTTCAAAACGAGGAACAGTGCTTGCAATTTAGCTAAATGCTAGGAAAACTTGGCTAATTGCAGGTAGATTTCAGCTTACGTACCATCAAGGTACATTTTGTCCAGTGCGTGTGTGTGTGTGTGTGTGTGTGTGTGTGTGTGTGTGTGCATCATCATCAAACTTAGTTTGCCAGTAGATTATATAAAATGTATCCTTTTGATGCTTGGGTCAGACAACATTGGTTAGAAAATGTAACTATCTCTTAAATCAAATGCAAATGCTATACGTGGAGAGGCGAGTGTCTTTGTCACACGCATCAAATGTAATTCTTTTTTATTTTTTTCTTTTCAAATTCTGAGTCAACGTTTCCTACCATTAAAGTTTCAGCTGCCAGTTTCTTCATTTTGCTCTCCTCTGATCTGAGAACATTAGCAGCAGGAGCACCTTTACTCTTAAATTTAGTTTAATGTAAGTATTGCAAGCCCTGCTGGCAAGCCTCAAGGCACAAACTCTGAATGGGGGTGGTGAGCACTGCATGATGAAGTGGGAAAAAGTTATTAAGTGCATACTGCAAAAATGTCCCTCATCCAATCTGTGTTGGCAAATTTCAGCTCAGCATAAGGACGGAAGCTGAGCAGGTACTCTCCTTGTTCTAAATTCCACATCCTAACGCCTCGCCAGCTCTTTTATACCTTCTAACTTCAGTCTAATTCTTGCAGGAAGCAGCCATGCTGAGATATATAGAAGCAGTAGAGGCAGAGGAAAGTGGGAAAACATGTAAGCATATTCAGGGTGCTGTCACTTCCGGCCTGAAGCACGCTGGTAAAGTGAAGGATGCATTCTGGCATTCATTAATATGAGCTGCATTGTTTTCTTTGTGTTGATTAGATAGAAACCCCAGCCCCATAATGAAGGGGACTTGTATTAGGGATGTGAGACAGAGGCCTGTAGCATAAATGGGATACATCAACCTTCCAACACATTTCATCAGGGTTCTCCCAGTCCAAGCTCAGAACAAAGCACACAAGGGGAATTGCCCAGGTTCAGGGAACTAAGGGTATCTCTCCAACTAGTACCAAAATAAGCCCAGACTGAAATAGTCTGTCAGGAGGACCCAGAGGCAGCTCCCCCAGTGCCAGTAAGTGGGCGGTGCTACAAGTGGCACCACAGGGGCTGAGCCAAAGATCAAAAGGCCGCCTGAAGCCATTGCACTGTTGGTATTCAGAAGAGATTTGGCACATTCTTTGATCTGCTGGTTGGCTCTTGTATCACAGTTACAGTCTCAAAGTTGAGCCCCCACATGCAAAGACAAATGAGAATGGAGAAATACAGGATGAAAGGTTTGAGAGTGCTAGGTCAGGCCGAATGTGTCCCATGGTGTGAGTTTAAATTTCTGGCCCCCAAGTAAAATTCTTCAAAGACTAACCCTACTGCCCACTGTCCCATGAGATGCCCTCAACAGGAAACACACATGGAGGCGGCCTACAACGGTGCAGACAAAGGATACTTCAGAAGTGACCATGTGTGACGCTGACCAGTGTCTCCAGGGTTGTCACTTTGTGGGGAAGAGCAGGGGTGAGAAAAACAAAGCCAACAAATGACCCCAAGCAAGCCTATCAATGGGTTTTGAAACAGATCTGAGCACCACACAAAATCCCTAAGAGGTAGAACTCTTCGGATTACCACCGTTCTTTCACCACAGAAGTTTACAGAAAACCATTGCAGGAATACTAATTATGTCCCTAAAAAGTAACAGTAAAATTCACACAAATAAGTTTAAGTAGTCACAAATGTCCTTTGGATTAGGGAGTTCCTTGTTTTGTTTTCACTCTGTAGTGGGTAATTAACTAGGATGTTAAACAATTGAAAACATTTCCTACCAGCTGACATTTTTTTGGGAGTTAATGCAAAGCAGAAGGCAGGAAAAATGTGTGAAGACTGCCTGCTTCACCTGACTTATATTTGCAGATTACTGCTGAAGAGGGTCTGTCCACACATAAGCCTGCAAACCAGGAAAAGAGAGCCAAAGCAAAGGAGAGAAAGCTGTGAAA